GGCCTCCAGCCTGGGGACTGTCAGCTTGCAGAAGCGAGGTACTCTCGGCTCCCAGCAGCCGGCCGACCCAGCGGGTCAGCCAGCGCAGCCCCCCCCCCACGCCAGCACCCCCCGACAGGGAGCTACCCGGGCCTCTGACACACGGATACCGCACGTGAGCATGAGCACCACGAACATTGCTCGCAAATAGGAGTGCGGAGAGCGCTGCTAGCCGTCCGCCTGTCCGCTTCACCCGATACCTGGAGCTGCACAGAGCAAGACCTGGTTTTGTTCTGGTGAATGAGACAGTCTAAGCGGGCATTTAAAAGTCTTCCCAGAACAAAGAAAATGCACAAACAATAATGAAAGTTCCTCTCCATCCACTTCCTTCGGTATAGCTGCTGGGTAACGAGGTTCAGCATCGGTTTTGTGCTACACAATTGTTGCCACAAACCTCCTGTTTATGTTTGGTGTTTGTGTATTTGTTTTGTCTCCCTGTGCAGATCTCAGTGCTCTTTGGAAACCCCAAACAAATCTCTGACTGGGCTGCCTGTGAATGAAGCCTTTACTCCCACAGTGTTATGAAAGCAAACACAAGCCCAGGGTCAAGTGCTTCTTTTGTCCCAGTAGTTCTTTCCCACGAGTTCAATCCTGCCATTAGCATTGATTTCCACTCCTTTAATCTGGAAACGCCTATCACAGCTCCTCAAAGCACTTTCTTTGCTGAGATCTCCCCAAATATTAGAAAAGAAACCGTTGGCTCCTTACCTTTACCTCCCGTCGCCTGCAGCATCTTCAGATGATCCACTGTCATTTGCAGTATTTCCGCTTTTTCTAATTTGGCAGATCCCTTTGAGATAAGAGGCTCGTATAAATAAAGGCTCGCAAGTACCAGAAACTTTAATTTGATATACTTTCCACTGAGCTCAGCCTTATGGTTTCAATTTCCCCTATCATTAGGACATTCTCGGCTTAAATCTTTTGTGAGCATCTGCCCCCCAGACTCTGTCTGAGGACTAGTGCCGTCTCCTCTCTAGCGATACAAGCAGCAGCAGCTGCAGCAGAATTTTGCTTTATTCAGGCTCAGTGCAGCTCTGGCCTTGAAGCTAGTGTAGAGGTGACATCTTCATGAAATGAGAGAAATACATAACTTTCCGGGGACTTTCTTTTTAACAGCAGACACAGACGGAGAGCTGGCAGGACAGGTCTGCACAGTGCTCGATGAAGACCCCGCTGCAACATTTTTTCTTCTGCTTTTACCAGTAGGTGTCCCTGTGGACACACACCCAGAAGTATCCCTCTTTTTTTAACCGCCTGTTAATTTTCGACATGTCATTTGGCTGCTGAATATTCTATTCTCGTTCTCGACTGAAAAAACAGCCGCCCAGTCCGCTGTATTTTAAGTCAGCGAGAGGCCTAGTTTGCAGGGACTTGAAGCTAAACACTGTGAAAAAGAGTTCAGCTTCTCTGCCAGTAAAAATCTTTCCCGTTACTGAGGGCGGCTCACAGAGCTGCAACAGGCCCTGGGAAAACATAAAACATAACTCAAAAGGTAGCATGAGAATGTTAATCTAGAAATAAAACTATTTTGCATGGTAGCATTCCCTGGAAAAACTGGAGCACGCCCAGACGACTGAGTTTACCAGGCAAACGTTATTCCAGTGCAGGAGATGACCCCTTGGAATCAGCTAAAACCAGGGCTGCACAACCTTCAGCCACCGGTGGATTGCATCCTGCAAGCCACGTTTTCCTCCCGCTTATCACCCGGGCTGCCTCACTGCCGCCTCGGCCGGCTTCGCCTTCGACTGGCACGGTGCAAGTTCAGTGAGGCTTGCACCCCGCTGCGCCACCCCGCCAGCCCCGACCGCGGTGAGGGACTCCGGAGAGCGGAGCTGGGATTTGGGCAGGGAGGGAGGGAGGGAGGCGGAAGCGAAACTGAACCTCTGACTTGGAAACCTCAGTGAGCTGACTGTCAAGGAGCTGGAAAGGGACGGATGACTCTGTCCTTGGCGTATTCCAGAAGAACGGTGGGGCTTTCCGAACAAAATACAGCGCGCGCGCGCGCGCTCGTTTTCACACCAACGCACCTTTTCAATCCGCTTATTTCTTTCAGCGCTTCCCCCGTACAAAGGTTGGTGCGTGTGTGAGTTTTTGGTCAGAATTCCCCGTTTTACACAGGACTCCATCCTGTACTTTTCTCAGGCTTCATCTTTTCCATAGACACAGCACAAGCCGTCTCAGTGAGAGTGACTAATAGCTAAAAACTGCATGGCGCTGGGTAATTTCCAAAGGCTCTGCAGGACTTGTCTTATAATGTTTGTGGTTTTCAAGAAGTAAACAATAAAATGGGACAAACAACTGTTGTCTCCTGCCCCTGTTTATCTAGCTGAAAATACCTCCGTCACTTCGTTTTGCCAGAACCTACGGAAGGGCACAGTTACAACTACTAGTTATTAAAAGCGTATTGCAGGTGACACAAGTGATGCCCTCACCATGATTACAATATTTAAAATCCCTTTTTAGCTTTTGTTCAGGCCAGGGATGTAACAGGCCTAAGATGGTGTGGTGCTTGCCACGGAGTTACCGCTGACATTCAGCACCTTGCGATCCTGCTCCCAAACTTTACTTTCTGTTTTTTTTTTTTTTTTAATTTTATTTTACCGTCACAAGGAAGTCGGGTTCTTTATTTTCATTTGGTTCCTTTTTATTGAAACGTAGTGTCAATTGCACATACCCATAGATCTTCAGATACCTCCAGTAAAACAGGAGCAAGGCTAAATATTGAATCAAAGCCCCAAAAATAAAAATCAAGACATGGAAAGGAAAGTAAGTAATCTAATTTGAACATCATAAACAGAATGCCCTTCTTTCAGCACAGGTTATATTCTGAGCTTTTGGTCTGTAATTTCGTGACCAAGGAGATGAATCAAAGTTCACCAAGGTTAGCTGGATCCTTCCCATTGAGTACTTTCTCACCTAAGGTCTTCACTAGCTGACACGACACAGGCCTATTACCCCTCCTAACGCCCTGGTTCTAAAGAGTCACTTTAAAACACGAATAATCCAGACTGACTGATCCCTTTTCAGGAAACTGGATTGATTAGTTTGCAGCTGAAATCACAGATCAAAAAAAATAGGTTTCTTAAAGTAGGGGCGAAGAAGGTTACATTTAAAGATTTAGACAGAAGGCTAACTGATACACAGGTTTGGGGGAGTTGTGTTGGGTTTGGGGATTTTTTTTTTAAATATGGAGTAAAGCACATTTTTAACAAAACCACTACTGCAATTCATCGAAAGAACAGAGGCAACATGAACACAGTTACCCTTAAGGGAAAAACAAGCCAAAGAATGGAAATGTTTTTCAGCCTTATAATGAATTATGTTTCTAATAGTTTCGCCACAAGAAAGCATTTTATTGAAATGCCTGCTTTGTGCCAGATCAGGACACACACAATATTATTTTAATGAGCTTTACAAGAGAACTAACATTGCCAGACGAGATACAGAATTAAAAAAAAAAAAAAAAGGGCTTACTTGTTTTTCAAAAGCAGTTGGCACAAGCCGCCTCAGCTCTGATAAACTGTTATTTATACGATCACGGCGCCTCTTCTCTATAATCTATTCCCAAAAAACCAAAACACGTTAAGTTGAAGGGCGAAATCACAGCACACGCACAAACCGTCACATGGGAAAGAGAATGAAAGGCAACGTACCCCTCTTCTTTTCTTTCGGGCCATAATCTGAGATGTCGTTGTTGGGGAATTGGATCGAATGACAGAACTATTACTCTGCCTGTGAAACAACAGAAGAAGGTCAGGGGTTGCGCAGCTTGGCACTGCTCTTTGCGGACACCTCGGGTCACCGTCCGGAGCTGGCACAGCCCCTCTCAGCCCGCTCCCCGCGCTCAGCAGACGCGCTCCGCGCTGCGCGGTGGCCTTGGAGAGATAGAGGCTGCATTTTCGATCGCTCCAGCGCCCGTTTTGCATCGACAGGGAAATAAAGTCCCTTTCTGCAGACACCTCACCGCCCAGCTCGGCCAGCTGATTCCGTTTCTATCGCCCATAACGCCCTCCCCACCCAACA